TTCTGCTGGAGATCAGGGAACATTTCAACCGGTTTCAATCAGCAGAACCAGAACATTCAGCCTGGAGGATCAGAGTCTGGTGAGATAAAAGCTCCTAGAAGCTGATGGGTTCTGTTAGCGCTCAGTCTCTCAGTCTGTCTAAAGATGTCAGAATCCATCCCAGTTAATAGATGGCAGAATGTTTGCTCCATGTTTAGACTCTGACCTCTGACCTCTGGCCGTGTGGCGGCTCAGAGTGCAGCTGACGTGACTGCAGGCAGATCGAGTGTCGGCTGGAATGGAGCGATTGTTTTCAGACGCTGAGGAACGTCTCCGTAATCCGACACGAGCCGCTGGAACAACAACTAGCAAGCCGGACACCTCCGACAAGGACGGCTGCTGGACGCCACATGTCACAGGTCAAAGGTCAAACACCCGCCCTACACATACAGCAGGAACTCAGGATCAGAAAACCAATATCTAGAATGCAATATCTAGAAAAAGGGAGCGCAGTGAGGAAGAGCAGGTTTGGTAGTCTTCATCATCAGAAGAAAAGATCTGAAGGGGAGCAGTTCCAGGAAAAAGGACATTTCTTACTTTTTTTAATTAATTCAAGGTTTGATTTGATTTTACAACTTTTAAGACAAACTTTAACTGCGGCAGTAATATAAATTACAACCTTACATTTTTCATGGGCCTATAACGGATTTAAAAAAACGTCTGTACAAAAGATTTACAAAATAAAAAGACAAAATAAAAAAAAGGAAAAAAAGAAAACAGACATTTTATCCCAGTTGTATTTAGAATTTATCTGTTAAAATTATTATAGATTATTCTGGACAACATATTTTTTAATATGACACTATTTTAAATATCTTTTCTTTCCATCTTTTAAACTCAGGAGGAGACGGCTCCTTGCTGCTGAAATGAACCGACTTTAGTGATCAGATTTATTTACTCCCAGAATCGCAGATTATCTCCAATCAAACGTAACGTCGCTGGCTTTGGTCATGCCAGTCCATGATACACCTGAACCCAAACAGGTTAGATCTTATTGCGTTCCCAGACAGCATGTATAAACATGGCTGACTGACATTTCCAGCAGTTATTGTTTGTAATAATCCCCATTCTTTGAAGTTTCTCTATTTATACTGAATAAATATCCAACGATCTTATAATGCTTTATCCCATTCCTCCTTACTTACAGTACGCCCCAAATCATTTCGCCAAATAGTTCTTAAGTTCTTAAATGATTCAACTATTTGTACAATACTGTTGCGCTATGTCCTCTGATGGACAATTTACAGTAAAGCAGCAACTAACAACTAATTGCTTAAGGAATAG